TGGCATGTGGTGCTGGGGGATTGAACCGCGGTCCCTGATGCCTTGCCAAGCTTGTTCTAAGTAGGTGCTTTAGACCACTGAGCCATCTCTCCAGCCCCACATTTGCTTTTCAATAAACTTTATTTCATTTCAAAAAGATTTAATCATGAGCATAAGAAGTGAAAGTTAGTTACAGCCCAAGCAGCTATACCAACCAAGAATAACGTTTTTTAATCTGCCACCTTGTCATCTAAAGGTACTTTCTCTGTGTGAATTCACCTAGAGTTCATGTACAGGTATGCTATAGTTAGAAAACCCACTGATCTAAAAACATGATTTAAAAGACTTTTTTTTAAAACCCTGAATACGCTGCCCTTAGGTCTGTACCATTACTGCTTTACTCCTATCTTACTACTCAACGAAAATGCAGGATGCCTCCTACGTTCCAGGCATGTGACATGATATATGCAAGGTATTACAGTGACCATCAAGAAGTTTATAGATGTGACATCAACTCAAGCTCACCTCTTTGTTTCAAATCACATTATGGATATTAAGAAAATGTTTCAGCATCTAAAACCAAAAGACCTTTCCTTTATAAAGGAGCCTAAAAGAGTTTTTAACAGAACTCCTGCTGTTCTACAGCCAATATTCCTGAACCCAAGATACCTAGACAGGAGTGTACCAGAGCTAGACATTAGAAACTCTCCGGTGCTACCGCAGGTATAGCTATGCTCCAAGGAAGTACCAGGAAACATGCAGTCCACTCTCTCACCCTTACCCTTCTCCCACCCCTCCTCTGACAGGTAACCCTTATGATGCTCCTCAAATCACTGCCCACCTATGACATTCTCAGAGCAAAAGGCCTTGGGTTAGTTACCTGTTGGCCCTGATAGAGCCAAGAATATATGAAGTAGATTCAAAAGTTTAGATGCCCAGATTTGTTGCTACAAGAAATCTTTTCTTTGGTGGTTAGAGGCAGATAGATTACCATAAAATCTTCCTAACTTCTACTTTCCAAAAATTAATGAAAAAGTCACCTCTAAAAGATTGGCACTATGGCCCCGGCACAATGGGCTCCTGGCTATGTAGCAGCAACATCAAAAGAGCAAAACCACTAGGGACTATAAGACTAAGGTAGAGATAAGAACTGCAGAATGAGAAAAGGAATCTTTTTGGGGGGGCAGGACAGTACTGATTTAGGCATACTACTGTTACTAGGTGTCAAAAGGGGTGTTTCACCAACCCCTCCCACCAACAACAAACAAAACAAAACAAATAAAAAAACCTAACACTCTGCTTTAAGTGCTACCAAACTACTACTTTGCTGGGCGACGAAGAAATTGTTGTTTTCTCCCACAGCTAAAAGTGCAGGTTGGATGTGAGCCGGCTGGGTAGCTGCTCTGTCCCCTCCCTAACACTGCTTTCTTCAAAGAGTGAGTGAAGTGAATGAGGAGAACCACACAACTACATCAGAATGTCCCTGTACTGTGTCCTAGAGCAAAACCACAACCCTGAGCTCTAGAGGAAACAAGCACACCACGATGAGAACAGGAAGATACACACACCGCTACCTTTAACCGTTTCCTAGTGAGACAGATAATCACACAAATTTTAGTCTCCCAAGTATTTATCATGCCATTTGAAGAGGTCCCAAGACTTCTCAGGCCTGTACTACCCAATAAGTGGAATTCAAGGCCTGCCAATGGTCTTGTTGACATTGCATCCCAACATCACATTATTCTTTATGCGCTTTGGGAGGATGACTACAGTTTCTACATTTGCCATCTAGCATCTTGTCTTGGTCAGATGACAGTCAAAGAAGTGTACTGGCAAAATGTTAAGAAGCAAGATACTGAAAGGCACAAATGAAACGTGCCTGCAGGTCTGTGGCAAACAGGACCTCTTGTCTTCCAACATCAGTATCGGGACTTTTGACTTTCATGGGCTATCAGTCTTACCTTTCATAACATTTGAGTGTTTTTCAACATTACATCTTTATAATTTAAGGCAGACATTCAGCTCTCAGTTCAGAGAAAACTAAAACAAAAAGCCCCAATAGGAGGGGATTATATTAAACATGCAATCTGAAAGAGAAAAAGCGGAAGAGATCTGAGTCCCAGACAAACAAGGTTCAAAACAGTAATATCAAAGTCAACAAGATAATAACTAAATGGATCAAACAGTGGCTACCTATACTTCTAATTTAGTTATATAATTGTATGTTTTTAAAAAGATCATGGCCTTTGCTTTAAAAAAAAAAAAAAAAAAAGATGACTGAGAGGAAGCATTCTCAAAAAATTCGTACTTGAGAGAAGATTTTCTAATTTGTATCATTTACACTTACAATTTTTTCACTTATGGCTGATTTATTTTCTGTCCTTTGCTGACTGATTGAACTTTGCTCCAATAAACACCAATTTCATTGAAGATTAAGCTCTGGTTTTCAATCACACTGATGCTATAAAATGCTAAGGGCATAATTTGGCAGGAGATACTAACCTTCCTCTTAAGATTCTCTGGTTCAAAATTAAAAAGTAAATAAACTAGTACATCTGTGAATAAAATTTCAGGTGTTGAAGGCATCTTGGTAAAGTTCCCTGTCAGGATCCCATGATAAGGAGCCAGATTTGACTCACATATACTATTTC